TGTTCCTGGCTCATGTGACATTCTGTTCCGACGACGCACTGTTCTGAGCCCGTGTCAAGCGCTGTAGGCCGTCTTCTTTGGTGAGCAGCCACTCTTCCAGCAAGACATTGGCGCTGTTTGCCTCTTTTGCGAGAATGTCCGGCAAGTCTTAGCTGAGATAGGCTGGGCAGGGGGCAGATGCTATTGCCACACCTGGAAGCCTTGTTAGCATCTCTTGAGAACCTGTGCCTGGCAGGTATGGAGGAGCACGATGCCAAAGATATCCAGGCTCGGTGGTTCGGTTCTGCGGTTGTTGGGATGTTTGCGACTTGAGCCGCGGCAGGTAGGAGTCTTTTCTGAACATAGGTTTCGAGACATTTCTTGACTGGCACGAAGAGGTGCTGATGGAGCACTACGGAGAATTGGTGCTGAATCGGGTGAGAAACGCCAAGCTGGTTCAGCCCCCGAGCATGGCCCATGATGTGCATTGGTTTACCAAGACCCTGACGAATCTTTGCAAGGCGCTCGCTCGAGTTCATGTTTTTCTTGGCCAACCAAGCGCCTCTAAGTCGTACGCTGTCACTGCATCACTGCAGCACCTTGACAGGCAGACCCCTTCTTGCAGTTCTTCGCGGATGACCCGAAGATGGAAAACTGTATGGTTTCCATTTTTAAACTGATCATGAATGGGGGCACGCCACCGTCTGCTCAAAACTTCTCTAGCAAGCTGAGGGCTGCACATCAGGACCTCTACCTGACAGATGCTAGGTACAGTGCCTTCATTGGCCACATTGACAAGGTTTTGAGGGCAATGTTTCCATGGCCAGTGCACCCAGCAGCCGTCGCTAACAGCAACATCCGTTCCCTGGAGGGCTTTCGCACAGAAGTCCTTTGCGGTAGCACTTTGCGAAGTTCAAGGCTGCAAGCTGTCGAAGGAATGTTGAATTCTAATGACTCGAGCAAGCAGCGTGTGGCGCGTCAAGCGAGACGTGGAAGAGTGGTATCCGCAATGCAGAGATGTGCCAAATCCCTTTTTGACTCCATAATACAGGACTCGCGTATTTCAATGTTCTTCAAGAACAGTGATCCGGCTTGTAAGGATCGCAAAGCCAGGTACCTAGGCTGTGCGCTTGCCGGCAACCTGCCCACAGTGGGGCAACCCAATGCGAGCACCAACCCCCCGACACCCTCAAGCGCTACCAGTCAGACGATGTCTCCGGCAAACAGCCTGAAGCAGCAGCATCAGCTCTTTCGCATCTCCGACTACCACTTTGATGTCTTCTTGGATCATGTGCGGCGGGCCTTGAAAGGGGAGGATCCAGAGGCGAGGATATTTATTTGTTTGTTTGTGTGGGTGCCCATCGAGTTTCAGTTTTAATGTCGCACCCAGCATTTCCGCAGTGCATGTGTTGTCCACTGTGTGTCCACCACCTTGGGCATCCAGGCCGCTGATTTGGCACCTGCGCAGTTAGAGTCACTACGACCCAACGTGGTCTTGGACTCCCGAGCATCTTGCCCAGTTTCTGGGGCTGCTTCTTCTTCTTCTGGGCGTGGGTGCCCCTTCAGACGGATGGTCGACGGAGCACCCTTGCTCGAGAAGGTCGGTGGCACAGAGGAGATTGAGAAAATCTTGACGCTGATGGAAAGAGAGGCTGGTGTGGACCACAAGGTTGATGGGAATGAGTAGCAAGGGCATTACTACTAGTAGCACAAAGCTACTAGTAACAAGTGCACTGCTACAAGTTCCAAGAGCATCGCTACTAGTAACGGGGGCATCGCTACTAGTAGCTTCTTGCTACTAGTTGTAATGCCAGGAGCTACTAGTAGCTTCTTGCTTCTAGTAGTAAGGTGCCTTCTAGTAGCGATGCACCTTGTTGTTGAATCGCAGTCTGATGATGTGGTAGGCAGCATCCTCTCCCATCCTCGTGTCCTTTTTGAATGGCACGGATTGTCTACCATGCCGCGCCCAGACGCCTGACTAAAATGCTGAAGTCAGCTTCTTTAGCAAGTGGATTTTCATTGAGCTCAGAAATGCTTTCATACCTTTCCGGGAGTCCACCGTCCCCAAGTCACAAATCGCTCACCCATCCTGACTACCCAGGATTCGCAATGCTCTTGCGGCTGCGGCAGCCAGTGACAATCTGGAGGACATACAGTTCTCGTCTGAGCGGTTGCAGGTGGGTGTCCGCAGACATCGTGTCGATGCCATTCGAGTGTCATGAGAAAGCCTGGGAACCAATAGTTAGTCAATGGATGCTTTGAAGAGAAAGGTCCGAGTTACAAAAAGTTGCAATAATTGAAGGTGATTGTGGGCGAGAGATAGGGCAATCATTTCGAACTACCATATATATATATACATATTCCTACAGCATTGGTTTCAGGCTGTGGCAATGGCAAGTTGGCAGGTTTGTTGCATCCGAACTGAGGCAGCTCACAGCCAGTATGAAATGGAACCTGAACATTTTGAGATGTGGTTGGGATGCTTCAATCGAAGCATGGTTGCTCACATTCTGCCACCAGATGTGGCCGACAAGTTGCAGCACTGCTTCCAAGCCCTCACATCGGCAATGCAGAGTAAAACCATGCCGCGGTTGACATCTCAAGAGGAGTGTGTCTTCAAGATGATTGAAGAAATTACAGTAGAGTTTTTGGGGCATGTGCACTTTATCCAAAAGTCAAGCAGCACAGTGAGGGTGAGATCATCAATCGACGTCAGGAGGACGATCGGCCTGCGGCTGAAGTAGACTGGGGGCGCCTACAGGGGCTGATCGACGAGCTCGGGGGCGATCCGGGGCTCACCGCTCTGATTGAGAATCTCAGCTCTGCATAGTTCTGCATGGTGCAAACATGTGCAAACACGAACTGTGACTGTATCCCTGAGAAACTGCAGCAATGTCCAAAACCAAGGAAATGGTACCACTTCATCAGTGAGGAACCTTCAATCAATGCCTTTTTCACCGGACAGCGTCCTCAAGTGATGATGTTCCAGACCAGGTTTTGGAAGAAGGCGCTTGGAGGATTGTTTCCTGTGTTAGAATTATATACATATGCATGTTTATGTCATGTCAGGTCAGGCCAGGTCAGGTAGTCAGTCAGTCAGTCCGTCGGTCGGTCGGTCAGTCAGTCAGTCTGTCTGTCTGTCCGTCTGTCTGTCTGTCTGTATTAGTCAGTCAGTGTTGCATTATGTTGCGTGTTGCTATGCCATGCTTTTGTTAGAGCGTGCTTGAATTGTTGGATGCTTTCGCCATCGGGAAGCTCAATCCTTTCAGGTGCTGCGCGAAGGTTTGCATCGGGACGGTCGCCGTCAGCTCCGTTTGATTCAAATTCACCAGCATTTGCGGATCACTCACCAGCATTTCGACGCCTTCGTGCGGTGCCTTGATGATTCATACTGTAAGTGGCAACAGAGCGGGTGTAGATATATATATATATATAGTGGTAGACTAGTAGTTAGAATTTTTAGTGAGGAAAAAAAAAGCTAGCAACCTAGGACTTGCTAGAAAACTGAAAAAAAGCAGTTAGGTCTGACGAGAAAAAACGTCGCACATAGAATTAAAACATCCACATAGAATTAACAAACATAGAATTAAAATTGTCACATGATTGCACGATTACCCGAGTTTGCCAAAACATGAGAGCGTCCAATGACTCGCAGCTTGCGGTGCTTGAGTGAAGAAAGGATTTGAGGAAAGAGTAGGAAGGGCAGAGTGTAAAGATAAGGGTAGAACCCCATCAATGCAAGCAAGTGATGCTTAGCTTTCTCAAAAAGCAACAATTTTCTATTTAAGGTTTGCGCTTTTTTTGGCCGGCGCGTTTCTAGTTGCAATGAATTTGTCCGAGCTACATTCACAACTGGAGGACGGGTGTTCACAACAAAGTGTAGATTTGGTTTCTAGATGGATGGTATATTATAGGCGACCAGTTTGTTCCTTTGAGAATATGTTTGAACACATAATTTTGAATGCAGTTAGAATTATTTTTAATGTTTAGGATTAGCCTGCCCTTCAAAGTAGCCAATCAGTTCCAAATGCATCTGGAATTCATCGTTTCGACCGGGAAAAAGGAAAGGCAGCGTTTTTGTTGGTCGTTTTTTTGCTGGTAAAGTGCATGGGTTGCATGTATGTTGGATCAATGGAATGTCATTTCTAACTTTCTAACTGCATATTTTACTAATTCTAAGTGCATAATCCTTGAAAAACAATTCTAACTACGAAAAAGCGCCAATTGCATTCTATCTGTAGAGAAAAATCTAATTCTAAGTGCATCCCTAGAAAATTTGACAATTCTAAGTGGTAGTCCGCCACTATATGTATACACACATATATACTGTATTATATAATATATGCTATAAATTGTTTCGCAAGCGGTCTGAAGCCCAAAAGGCACCCGAAGTCCTGATGCACCTGGGCCCAGGTGTTTGATAAACGCGTGCGAGGCGCTCTCTCTCAGCCAAGATTCATCCAACAAGATGAGGGCGGCTGTTGAATGCTTTCGGCCGCAAGTCGTGAAGGACTACACCTGAGCATGGTGCAAGATAGTGCACAAATATGCGCAAATGATCTGAGTGGGTGGCAGACATCCTTCAGCGTGCAGAGGGGTGGTCATGGCCCACTTGTGTTAGTCTTGCTATTGGTAGCGTTAGTTGGAGAACGATAGTCTTCATTGTGGCCCGGCTGGCACAGAAGCCCGGTGAAAGAAAGCTGTTCAACCCATAATGATGCCTCAAACAAAAGGATAATGCAGTAGATGAAGCTGGTTGACCATTCACAATGTTTTGGGGCGCTCCACTCACGCTAGCCATGACATACATTCTGACGGGCTGCAAGCGCAGGAGCCATGAGGCCACATTTAGTTTAAGTGGCACGGCCGAAGCCGTCGGCCATTTTCATGGATCCGAGTGGTCCCAGACATCCGAGAGTTCCACGAATGTGCGTGGGACAAACATGGCAAACACGCCGCTCCCGGAATGACACCTGGCGCGGAGAACGAGGCAAGCTTGGTTTACAGCTTTGCCGACCCAGGCCAAGCAGAGCAGTCTGATTCTGATTCGAGGTGCTTTGGGACGCTTCTGTTCCAGTGTGTTCACCAGCTGCACTTTTCATTGTTTGGTTCCGAGCGGGATTTATCCACTCTGCAAGTCTGGCTTTTGCCAGGCCTGGGGTGTCACACGGCCGGGGCATTTGAGCCACACTTGGTGCTACAAACCTTTTCCTTTCACTGTCTAAGGCCTTTGCACTCCTGAGAAGGCACCGGTGTTGAGACGGGATGGCTCTGCGACGACCGCAAGCCACATGTTTGGCGTTTGTCGTGACATGTTCCGCCTTTATCGCTTCTGAGGTTGCCTGGGAAGCGATGAAACGCCAGAACCCTAGCCTTCCAATTGAAGTGGGTGTGTTGGAATGCGGTTCTTAGACCTTGATGCAAATAATGGCCACCAACATATCAAAAGAGTTTTGGACATGTATGTTGGTGGACTCTATCTTTAATAGTCCTTCAAAATACCATGAAAGATCGAATGCTTCCATCGATGCTCAGGTGCCTTGGAGTCATCCCCGTTTGGGTCTGAGGAAAATATTTTGTAGAATTGGGATAAGCTCAGCCTGAATTCCAGTAACTTTCCATCCCAGAGGCATGTTTGCTTTTTAGCTATCTTGAGCATGGAAAGATATGGACACTTTCGAGGTCTCCCAGGAAGTGCCGGAAGATGGATCGAGAGAGTGCCCGGATACTGAGGATCAGGGAATGAAGTGAACCAGTAGGTGTAGCATAGCCATAAATCACGTCATAGATGTAGTTTTGTTCCACATGTGTTCCTTCACGCCGTTGCCGAAGCCATCAGCTACGTATAATAAAGTATCACACACACATATATATATATATATAAGTATCGAATACATTTTTTTTTGGGACCGCTGGGTCACCAGGTCGGCAGCTCAAGAAGCACAACAGATACCGAGGCATCAAGCTCTGCCGCAAGCACAGGGACTTCATGATGTGTGAGAGTGTGTGTGTGTGACCATGTTTGGGGGTGCCAAGGTGGAGAAGCCGAATTCGCGAGCTCGCGCGGAGTGGGGATGCCTAGATCTTGGGAAGGCGGCTGGATTCAGAGAAACGTAGTTTGAGCAATGGTAGGCACAGCACAGTGCAGCTTGTTTCCAGGCCGCATCCAGAGCCAAGCCCAGCCAGACAGGCCGCAAGCTGCCCTCAGGCTTCTCACGGCTCGCGACAATTTCTCAAATGTGGTGGTAACTTGTGATGGTTTGTCGGAGGACGGGCACGTGAAGCAGATGTCAGAAACTGTGAAGGAGCTCAAGGCATGCAGAATACAACACTTCTACCTTATTTTTGCAGTCCTGCAGTGTTTGGTCAATCGTACAACCTACAGTGAGTGGCTTGCAATGATCAGCTTTGGGCCACTGGCACGCACCAGCCCACCACGGAATTTTGGCTCCAAAGCACAGGCTAGACTCGCCAGACCTCAGTAATGTGGAGCACATTGAGCCAAATTGAGCCCTGGGAGAAATCCCCATAGCACACGCTGAGCGGTGTTCCTCTAGTGAGTGGTGGACCCAAGCCATGCCGGAAAATTCCAGGGATATTTCCAGGAATGATCAGGAAGAGGAGGCCTGACTATGCCATTTGGTCCGCCGCAAAGTTCCTTTCAAACAAACATCCACCTGGTGCTTTGACCTGCCTGCAAGTGCATTGGCATATGGTACGAGAGAAATCGTGCAGAATCAGAATCCTGCCAGGAAGTTGGTCTCATCTCAGCGCGCTCACCCAATCCAGGCAATTTTAGTTGACCTTCTGGGGCATTTTTGTTGTGCACTGTTTGCTTTGTGCCTGCAACAGTGCGCAAGAAAGACAGAAGGAGATGCTTGCTAAAGTCTGCGGGCAACAGACGTCGTACATTAGACAGGCTTTGTAGACAACATTTCACCTCCCACATGGTGGTACCGGGGACTGATTCAAGAACACGTCGGGAACCTTGAAGCTTTGCAACAGGTCGTTTTTCCAAATGGACGCCGGGTTCCCAGCGTTGGCTTATTGGCTTTGGGGGTCAGTGCGATGGACACCCTGCACATCCCTGCACACAGTCTGCCGAGGCTATCGAGAGTGGCATTGGGCTTGGTCCTAGGGCTGGCTTGTGCCGCCTGGATGCTGAGGGGCGAGAAGGACATCGAGGCACGATCCGAAGACCACTTGGAAGCACCACCGCAACTGCTTGCCTGGTTGCCGTGGTTTGTCTCCCCGACAGCTGAGCGATCAGGTCATAAAGTAAAGGCTGTAATGGGGTCATAGCTATGTTGAGTGGGAATCAGTGGAATCAGCATCTTCTTCCATCAGGGTGTGACCAATTCTTCATTGCCTCAACAGTTGCCGGGCGGCAATGTGTTCTCTTGCTGTGAAATCACGGCAGATGCTCTGCATATATTTCTTTGTCATACAACCATACTGCAGCCGAGTCGATCCGACTGGTTGTGCTGTTTGAGGAAGTACTCCGGTCTCAATGGTGCCACGGGCCCCATGCCTCCAGTGCCCAAGAAGGCCAACGAACACAATGGAATCGAGTGGCCAGAGATGCCACTTGGATGTTTCCCTCAAAACGTTTGCTCGGGGTGTGATTTGTCTTTTGCCCGCGACTTTCGTTGCACAAGTTTTGGTTGATCTACCAATGCCTTTGTTCCTTTGTTTGCGTCAGCGCGGAGCGTGGGATGGACATAATGTTGCCTTTGGTGGATTGAAGAAATAGCTCCCGAACCTTCGATGGTCAAAAGTGGCCGCAACAACCGTGCAGGGACTGCACATTTTTGTTGTGAGTTTCTTGTGCGGACAGCAGGGGAAGGTAGGAAGAAACATGTGTTCAATTCAAAGTTGGTGCAGTGGGGAAGGCTCTCAGGAGGCCTGAACATAAAAAGCAACGTGTTGAATTGTGTTGTCTCCTTGTCCAGTTTTGAGGGACTGTTATGGTCTCCATTGCTGGAGGTCTACGATGCAGTTTTCCGTAGTTTTCCTACTGTAATTGGGTTTCTTGAGGAGTTGATCCATTCATATTGTGCCGCGCTTTCCTCGTCTGTTGTTTGTGTCGCTCCCAGCCCTATTCTAGCCTGATTTTAGCTGATGTGGATGTAATGTCCACCGTTTTGGTGATCCAAGTGCTTGGTAGTAGTAGTACTACTGTATATATACTGTAGATACTATTGCTAATTTGTTCGTGTGAAGCCTGACTATCGCAAAGCACAAAGTTAGTTTTGAAATCTGATTCCTTCTTCTTTCTTCATCCTTATAAGCCTTAGGACGCTCGGCGGCGACCAAACCATGACGTTCTTTATTGTGGGTCAGGGCCATAGACACTGGCACTCCTTGGCTGGAATGGGTGCAAGCAGCAAGGTAATTTTGCGGCGTATCCGTTTGCCACGTTTGTGGTTCCATTTTGGTTTCATGTAGCCACATAATGGAAGGCGATTGGGGTGGAATGGACGGTGCGATCATCCCGCCCAATGGTGCAACAAGGACACTAGTTGCATTCTCCAATTTATGCAATTTTCGCCGCTCGCTGCGGAGACGGCGCGTTTGAAGAAGCCAAAGAGTGTCAGGATGGTCCAGTACAATGGTGGCAAGGAGGTAGGTCCACATGTATTTGCTCATCGGCCCAGCGGGTGCAACGATCAGCAGATGCTACTTGGCTTGGCTCTAATGACTCGGACTCTGAAGTTCAGTGTCAAGAGACTACAGCACTGAGTCACTGAGTTCAGTGCACTAAGGGATGTGGGGGTCGTTCATGCTTCATGCAAGGTCTATTTGCTTCAATGCTCGCGGGGGGGGTTGGCTGCCCAGTGACCTGCGGGTACAATGATTCAGTGGACTATGAGCCGGCGCTGTTGGTGGCGAATCAAATGAAGTAACTTGGCACATCCCGGAGACTTTGTAAAGATGCTTCGGGGTTCAAAAGCTTGCTTCCCATGCCTCCCATGACATCCACGCCCTACCAATCAACTCCTTCATGCTGGTGACAGTATGTGACAGCGTATTCGCGTGTGACAGTGTGCAAATAGTGCCTTTGCTTGGAGCACACCAGCGGACTTTGCCAAGATTCCGCCCTCAGGAAACGTGCAAAGACGTCCCATCCCCAATTTGTTCTCAATGTCAGGAGCTGAGAGAATTCGGAATGAAGACTCGGGTGTGCCCGTTCCAACATCACTGCCCGTGCACAGAGTGAGGTAGGTGACAACTTCTACTGGGGAGGTATTCCACTGATGTGTGGTGCCAACCCTTTGGCTGGGATCCACTACATCACCGGACACATGCTCTGTGGCAGAAACGGCTTTGCAAGTGCACCTTAAGGGCCTTCCGGGAGCACCGTTGAGCCTCCAAAGCCTAAGGTTTGACACCATTTACAATCAGATCTACAACACTCCAGAGCTCAACATCGCTTGGTTGAGCGTTCTGGGGAGCCTTTGCCCGCATGCCTTTCGCCATTGGGACTCGCCGTTGGCATTCCCCGTCCGGTCGGTCTCGATCGAGGAACCATGACTATGGTGGCTGGATGTTTTCCGCATCATGGGACCAACAGAGCCTTGGCAGCGGCAATTCTTGGTCTTGTTTGAAAGATAGGGTGCGACTAGCTGGGCTGAGCTCCAAGGATTGCCTACACCTGGCACAATCCAAAGCCGAAAGCTTACACTTACTGTAGTAGTCCCTTAAGATGCAAGCTTGCAACACATTCGGTAGAAAGCATACCACCCCACAAATTTGAAATTTGAACAGGTGGCGACTACCCGCACAGTACTGGATGCAACACGTGCCCTGTTTATTGGAGTGAGTGTCGCTTAGGGTAGGTGATCGTGACCAGTCATCAGGAATTTCATGATGTTGAGCAGCTGCTTCGATGCCTTCAGCAGACGAACATGCCTCCGGCAGTTGAACGGGGTCGTTCTGAGCAACGATGAGAATGCTCCAGACATCTGAGGTGAATTTTGTTGACAAAGGCTTCGACATGGACATCCTCTTGCTGGATTCCAACAATGAGGCCACAATAGGCACAATTTCATCACGAAAGCTAGCCTTAGCTAGCTGGAGTTGCTCTTGCTTTAGCAAGTTAAGTGACGGGGTGGACGCACCTCAGAAACCTCAAATAATTGATTAAATCAATCTTATGGACCCCCCCCCCCCC